ACAATATCCTCACCATGCATGAGGCACTTGACACCTGGCATGCCTTATTCCCGATATACGTTTGTTAGCCGTGTTTCGGTGGGCACCGGTTACTCTCTTACACAATGGATTACTGGGTCAGACAGTCGGCAAACTGCATATTTAACACACGTGGAAATTCATTCTCGCCTGATTAGCGTCCATAGTTCCATGTACACCACGGATCTTCGAGCGCAGTTCTTATCTCGTTGGATCTGTCTGTCCTAGGGGTCTCAGTAACCGTGACAGATCCCGGTTTCGTCGCCCGGCAGCGGCGAGCAGCCGGGCCCAGAGGCCATCATCTATGATGGCTCGTACATCGCCCCCACGGTTGCATCTGCAGTCAGGCGTAATGAAAGGATGGGTGTGGCAAAATCAATGGAAGTAATGGTGCGGTATAAATTAAGAGTAAACACGCTAGACGTATGGCATAGATATCTAGGAGCACATCCTCAAATCTCCTGCGTCTGAACAAATGTTGCGAGGTTCCTTAGCTACTAGTAGCGCGCATTGAGCGTGAGTCCCCGCATGGGGTTCTCCATCAATCTACTGTAGAAGTGGTATATTTTATGCAAGTCACCGAACATCCAAAGGCAAACACGAAAAACCTATGATATAGGTATTGGAGCACATCCTCTAATCAAATCTCCTGCGTCTGTAGCAGATATTCCGAGGTTTCTTTGGCATCGTGATCATGGTCTATGGAAGGACGGTCAACAATGCTCGTGAGGGGTGGTGAACTGAAAAGACAAACATGGTAGTTGTGTGCTGGGATCTCTGTGATGCTATCCTCTAACCGAACCTCGACTTTGCGGATAATGTTGGAAATCACGACTCCAAGTTGCAGGTACGCGAACTATTAATAAAATCAGCCAAGTTCACCTCAGTAAGCAAATAATCAAGCGCACCTGCTCGCCAATGCATCTATGCCGCCCAGCACCGAAGGGTTGGTATGGGCTCTCAGTTCCCTTGCTTATAGCACCAAAACCGTAATCAATCTTCTCGCCGTTCTCGTCAGAGTAAGTGTTGAACGCTTGAGCAGCAACACCCTCGGGGTCACTCCACCGCGTCGGGTCCCACTTCATGGGGTTAGCCCAGATACGAGGATCAACCTGGCTGACGGCAGCAGAAGCAAGCACGTAGTAGCCCTTTGGGACGACATAAACACCATCTTTGGAGGGGGCAGCGAGAGTCGCAGGAATCGGGACATCAGAACGAACATAGCGCATGATGCTGTGAATAGGCGGGTGCATGCGGAGCGTCTCACGAATGACTGAATCAAGAACTGGAAGCTTGCGGAAGCCCTCATAGGTCATCGGGCGGAAAGAACCATCCGGATTGCCGAAGTGGTCGACTTGCTCCTGGTAAAGTGCTTCCCTATGATGACGATCAGTATATGTTAGCTGCCGATAATGAACAAGACGCACTGGACTTCGACATTGTGAGCAAGGTGAAGAAGTGTCCATGAACCAGAGGCGGAACTACTGTGCTGTCCTGCCATGAGAAGGGCAATCATGATGTGCGCGATTTCATGGTCACGGAGAGGTCTGCCATCACGGTATTTTTGATCCATCAAGGCGGAGATCATATCAGGTTCGTCCTATAGGATGCATCGTGAATATTGGCTAGATCTCATCAAAACAAACGCCTTACAGAATGACCTGATTCTCTGCGTTTGCAGATAATGTCGGTATAATACTTGCTCATCTTCTTCTGCGCTGCATCCCGGCGGCGGTAAGATTCCAAAGGCAAGTTAGGGAACATAAAATTAAGCGGAGTGAAGCCTCCATCCAGGTCGTTGTAGAGCGCAGAGAATGATTTGTCCAAACCACTTCTAACCTCCTTGCCTTGCAGAGTCCGGCTGGCAGTCAAAATAGTGATTTGGGCCATGATGTCCGTCACATCGAAGCGTCCCCATTCATTGATGTCGTTCATTTGCCAGATGATGAATGCTTGATCGCTGCGCATGAAGTCGTCGACTTCTTGCTCGAACATGCTCACGTACGCCCGGAAGTTCTCAGTTGAGAGGCCGACTTTAACGAAACTTCTTTTGCTCCATGAATACTTCATTGGGGACATCGAATACGACGTCTTTGCCGAAGACGGGGGTCGTGAGGTGCTGTTTGTGGTTGAGCAAAACATTTGCGAGGTCAAACAATTGCAATTGCACATACCGTGTAAGCGTCTTCCGCGGAGAACGCAGTCGATTTACCACCCAAGACAAAGTTGTTGCCTTTAGCACCGAGTGCGACCGTAACCTTGCGTCCAAGTAGAGTGAATGTGAAGACATCGCCGTGCTGAAGAAGAGTATGAGACAAAATCATTGAGAGAGGTATGTCACACAACCGTACTTTTTCCCTGCACTTGAAGAAAAAATTGAGTGGGTCATTGCCGTACGTGATGGAGGACCCGATGAAAGGGATCCAGTGAAACACTTCCGGAGGTAGTGAAGGATCTCGGGGAACAACCTGGTGACATTGTATCAGTAGACACGCGAATAGGGGTTGCAGGATGATCACCAGCTGCTTGAGGATGTTCAACACGAAGATGAGAACCGGCGTATAGAAGAGTCCCAGTAGAATTGCTCTACCAGGAGAGGCGGCGACATACTGCTGCGTAGCATGAACGAGAATGGCGACGTAGTGCGCAGCCGAGGCGGTCGAATCGAGCGACATGGAAGAACGAAGACAAGATGCAAATCAATGTCAATGTCAATGCTCCGGCGCTGTCCAAAGAGCACTGGCAGATATCACGAACGCGACTGGTGCCAGGTATAACTTGTTTTTCAGCGCGCGTTTTGTTCTCCTAAAATATGTTGTCGAACCATGGTACATGACTTAGTCATCTCACCATCCGAACCAATCATATACCGACAACTGAGTTGCTTCCGACGGAGAAACTCATGAGAGAACATATGGGGTGAGCGTTAAAATATGCAGCAGATTAACCAATCATAATGGCGCCTATACCCGACTCTGTTTTCGCACGACACTCGAATTCGAACATCTCTCACATCTCTCATTCACTCTTTCCTTCAGCGCCATCAACGCCGAGTTGAATAACGTGTATATAAGCTACACAAGTAAGATCGACAGACATAATCATAATCATTCTGGAACACCGGCAAAAATGAAAGACCCGAAGCAGTTGAATGTACTGGGTGGATACGAGTGTTAGACTGCCATCATCTTTTGTTTTCATGGTAAGCAGGTGGTATGGTATTTTTTACCCCCATTCCAAATGCAAGCACCATTGCCCTACTATGCCATGTGTCTCATCTCCCCATCTACCACACTGCAGAACCTCGCTAACTCACCTCCCCACAAATAGCTTACTCTTTCTTGGGTTCGCTCCTTCAAGGATACGGCGCATTATGCGCGGTCGATGGCGAAACTTCGGCGCTCTTGTGCGGACCTAACATATAGTGGCTAATACCATTCCGTTTCTATCCACAACCCTATACAACAGACAGTGCCAGTTGCTTAACCTCCGCCATCCATCCTAACAGTATACAAGATACATCAACTGTAGGATGGATAATTTAGCGTAGCGTGTGTTTACATCAGAGTGGCACTGCCCTTACTTTGATACTGCAGCCCAGGTAGACTGTTACTTTGTGGCATTTACTTCTTTTCTAATGGTGTTGCCAATAGTTGAAGCTCGACTGACCGGCGCTAATCGAGAACATGATCATCCATCTTTTATGGTATGATTTGAAGCCTTCCTGAGGTTGTATGAGCGACGTCCGCTTCTTCGTCTCTCTCATCTCTGTTTGTAGTCAAGGGATGGTGTTATATTCACTGCACATCGATCATGGTTTAAACGTTTATGAATCAGGTTGTGACCACTGATGATTGATGCATCCACCGCACGCTGCAAATTGAGTGATATGTGTCTTGTATTAGATTCTGCACTTACCATTTATTGGTATCCTTATGATATGATAGGCCGATAACCAAGTTGGGGGACGAGAAGGCGTGCATATGCTTAGGATGCGGGTTATTCACTGAAAGGGTTATACAGGTGAGTGATCTGTCTGCTTCACCCTTGTTTTACATATCCAATGTTTCTGTCATCTCGAATCTCGATATAAGTTCTCCTCTTGGAATGATCTCGGAGGTCCTGTTATCCTCGGAGACTGCCGATGCTGATCGAGAATCATCGAGACAACAAGCTTTTTCAAAGGCTCGCATCACCGCTAGGCCATTGTTAGGCCAAGTTTTGCATCGGTTTTCATTTGAATGAGATTCGATGGTGAGCCACTCTCTCAGCTCGATCTTTTCTGATGACGTGCAAATAGAATGTCACTACATCCGGTTCTTCTTATACAATTAAGAATCCTAGGTCCTGGATATGGACACTGAGCGCTGAGGCTGAGTCTTCTTTTCTCCGTGTCCTTTCTCTGGATCTAAGAATGGCATTGCATTTTCACTATATACCAATCAGTGATTCTTAACTAGGACATCTGTACATTGTGACAATTGATGCCCTGTTGCCACCGCGCCAACTCCACGATGCAGATCAAAGATTCTGCAACCCATCATTGCTGGCAACATCATGATACGAAAGGCCGATAACCGAGGCAGAGAGCGAGAAGGTGCTCATGAAGCGACAGATAACCCGAGGACGAGGAGCAGGGAGCTCACATACAGGTAGATCGTGAGTTATCTGTTTGCTTCTTGTAGATTCCCCTATTTTTGACAGTGAATATTTGGTCTGGCCTTGGCATGTCGACACAATTTGCTTTCCATATTAATTAATATTACGATATTCAAATGTTCCGCCGGTGCAAATGCTTCGCGACCAACATTTACGTTGAGCCCCTTTACCTCTAGTTACTTGAGGCAGGAACGGACATCAATGCGTCATCCCTCGATCTCATTTTGGTAATCCAAGCACTGGGTGGTGGACCTGTGGTATATATACTATCGCCATACGTCTACCAAGTTCACTACTCACTCACACGCCCATTCTATACTAATATGACCATAGTCTCGAATGATCCCACTTGGTGGCCGGCCATTAATTCGAATCGTGTTTTAAGCTATTTTATAGGTTCGTGGGGAGCAGCCGGATGTTGAAGCGACCCAATCTAACCTTGACTGTGGTTCCCAGTTGCCGCCTCTGTTGGATTAATGTATGATTGGGGTGAGCAGGATGATATTAAAGGACTGCTGATATCTTACAAGTATTTTCAGCACTTACATTAGGACAAGAGGTATGTCGACGCTATGACTAGAATAGTCATCTCGCTAAGAATGGTTTTATAGGTAGAATTGGTCTGGGTGAGCAGAGTCTCATGTCAGAGGAACACACATGAAAATACACTTAATTCTAGAGGCAACGCTGGTCCCTGATGACAGGTATATATCTCGGTGTATGTAGCTCGTTTGTCGCGGTTGTCACGCTTTGCTGACTTGAAAGCATCCTAGGTGCGCTACCTTGGATTATTATATGCTGTGTATGTTTGGAAGGCTAAACAATCGGTGTTGTGCTAACCGTCTATATCTCATCATCAGCCTGACCATGCTGAGTATGCCTCCTTAGTGCATTCACTATCTTTGCTTCTTCTGACCAAAGGCATACAGGGAGTGTTACGACCATCGCACTGATAGATACAGTGAGTCTTCTGTACAGATGCCTGCTATTCCCCTCCAATTAACCGTTGTGCCCTGTAGGAGTTAGTATGCTTCTTTAATAACTTCTTGGTTCACTCAGGACTGTCACGCTATACTACCACAGTTGTGAGTCTGTTTGGAGTGTATGCTACCCGAGGCTGATCACTAACGGGATTCGTCAGGCTGGATTATGTCCGTTATACGGAATTGGACAATTGTTGTAGTATTTGTTATGCTGTGGGGTGAGCTTCGCACCTGCTAAAACTCAGTGATATTGACTTGACTGAAATATCTTGCAAGTCATCATCATCACTCGGTTGTATGCCATGTATCAACGATCCAGAAAGGTCCTGATATTTCTCATTGTCACCTTCCTGGCTGACAACATCTTCATTGGAGTGGTATCTGTACTGCAAACGATGAATACTTCAGGGGGTACGCTTAATTGTGGATGAAAACAAATGTGTATGTGGCTCATTGCTAAATACCAGAGGAACTTATTCTCTCCGGCACCTATCAGTGCTCGATTAGCTTTGCGGAAGATACCATACTTCTGAGTTCCATTACTTGGATACTCAGCACCGTGTGGGAGGTCATCATATTATGTCTCGCAATCTGGATTGCTGTCAAACACTTCCGTGAACTGCGACGACATTCGGCAGGAGGGATTATCGGGGACTGCTTCGCGGTGTTGATTCAAACTCACATGCTTTACTTTGCGAGGTGAGCTCATTGTGATTATTATTTCCTTTCTCCACTGAAGGGTTGGATGTGGTAGCTTTGTTGCCGTTTCTTGCTTCACCCTCGTTATTGATTTCTTTCCAACAATCCCAACGGTATGTCAATCTTACGCTTACCTCTGCATATGACCACGGGTCATCATTTCTACAGGAACCATATTCCCTAGCAATTCAGATTTGTTATGGGTTCCTTCAAATTTTGGAGGTCGTGCAGATGTTTGTGCTAGGACCCCGCTTGATCCTTAGCGTTCGAGAATATCACGCCAAGCTCGTGGCCGATTCCGACGCAGCAACCGGCATGACCTCAATCGCTTTCCAAGAGCGTGTGCATATATCGACTGGCAATAGCGTATAATACTCAGTGAAGTTGTCTAGTGCTCTGCAAGGAGCAGGGGAATTTGCTTTTATTTATTCCTACTTTCGTGATGGTATTGATCTAAGTTATTTGGTGGTTTGAAGTAGATTTCAAGGATATATAGGTCCGGCCAAGGTTTTCGTCGTAATTTGCTATACGTTGTGATAATGTTTATACTGATATCTCTACTGGCATTAGCTGTCCGCCCACACTTGCACCAACTACTGGTCCTCTTCCCTGTGTGATGACAATCATCCCTGTTATTGCTTGGGCAAATGGGCACGCAAGAGCCATCCTCAGAAATCCGTCCTTGATTCATCTTCTCACCTCATTCAACGTCCCACCCTTGTATTACCTGACTCATGCCAACTGGCTTGCAGAAGATTCACTCAAGATGATTAGATCCACAAGATGCGCGAGGTACATTCGTGCACACGTAGCTTGATGATACGAGGCATGCTTGATGAGTTTTGACGTTGGTTAATGCGCGTGGAACCTCGAGCTTGTCTTTCACTTTTCTTTGACGAGGCGGAAATACAGATACGAATATGAATGTGTTCAGGATTGCTACTGAAGCGCTATTGGGGGGATACATGTACCTTATTAAGCATCGTCATTGTGCTATGAAGGCCGTGAGTAAGCTTGGATAAAAAAATATCATACTGCGTCCTTTCTGTAACTTAGACCCCGCGCCTCCTGGGAGTCAGGCGAATTTGAAGGAATACAGGGTATTACTGTCTGAGCATTGCACACCGAACATAAAACAGATTAGTCGCGTGGTTCCAAACGGTGACACTGACGCACCCAGGAACGGACATGCAGGCATCACCACCAGTGATAGTGCGGGAGTCAAGCGTCTGCTGCTTGATATCAGGTTGTGGACGTGATGACGACTTCAAGACAGGGAGAGGTGAATCTCTCGATGTAGCTGCTGGCAGAGACCGCCTCCGGGACTTGGAAAATGATCCCGTGGATGCGAACAAGATGTCTTCAACAAGCTTGACAACGACCTCGACGTTGGGGCCTTGAATTAGTATTTCGAATTGTCATAAGAACATATCTGCATAGGAGGGCGACTACCATTAAGAAGATTTCAGGCACGCAGAAGTGATAAAACACTTCGAACAAAATGATAGAGGCGCTCTGAGCACGACAATTAGAGCGTGACTAGCACAAACAAGCCACCGGGTTGGTAGGTGCTATAGGCTTTGACAGGTTGCAGAGGACTGAGTAGGTGGTGTTGGTATGGGCCCGGGTCGAGACTGAAAAATGCAAGTCGAAAATGTGATTCTAGGATGCGGGAACGCTCACATTGTTTCCGCGGGAATGCATTTATGCGGATAGCCCACTGAGTTGTGGCCTCCACTGATGCACACTTAGTTGAGAGATTCACAAGGCTGATCGTTCTGAAGAGAAAAAAAAAAGGGTCATTTGCTCTTGAAATTCTGAATCTCATCGATCATCGATGCATCCTCGAGCCGGACAGCTCACGACTTACCTCTGGTTGTATCTAAAGTAATTGATATGATGGCGTATTGGCTTCCATCATTGCATAGTGCATTGAATTTGGTAAAAGTTCAATAGTCGACACCGGCAAGTCAGCTAACCCAAACGTGACGGGACAAACAATCTTTTCCTTTTACCACGCCTATCTCGAGTAGTCATAGCTAGTAACCGTTTGGCACCAGAACAGATTCTTCTAGAAATCTGCTCTCTTGTGGATTCGAAACCTGTCGACCTGGACAGTTCTTCGGAGGTTCGTCTAGACTTGGCCAGCAAGCGTCCTGGCCCAAGTGGTTAACACAACAAAATCAAAATTTGTTTCTCTTGTACTTTGCAGGTTCGAAACCTGCCTAACAACAGCGTTTTTTTCTATCGGAACACGCCTTGAAGAGTCACTCATGGACAGTTCCTCAGTGTTTCATCTCAACTGCGTACTCGCCAAAGTGGTTACCACAACGGAATCAAAATCCGTTTCTCTTGCACTACGCAGGTTCGAAGCCTGCCGAACGACGCGAATTTTTTTCCATCGGAACACGCCCAATTCCTCGGAGCAACTTCGCCCTGACTGAAGTGGTTACTGCAACATAATCAAAATCTGTCTCTTGGACTGTACCAGTGCAGGTTCAAAACCTGCCGACGAGGTTTTTTCTCTGAACACGCCTTGAAGATTCACCGATGGACAGTTCCTCAGATATTCATCTCAAGTTTGCCTTGGCCAAAGTGGATACTATCACAGAATCGAAATCTGTCTCTTGGAGTGTACCAGTGCAGGTTCAAAACCTGCCGAAGAGGTTTTTTCTCTCAGAGCACGCCTTGAAGATTCGCTGATGGACATTTCCTCGGAGGTTCATTTCAACTTCGCCTGGCCAAAGTGGTTCCTACAACAGAATCGAAATATGTTTGTGTCGGACTTGTGCATGCTCGAAACCTGCCGACGACAAGGTTTTTTTCTATCGGAACGCACTTTGACATTCACTCATGGATGGATTCCTCGGAGGCTCATCTTAACTAGTCTTAACCAAGTGGTTACCACAACAGAATTAAAATCTGTTTCTCTTGCAGTCGGTTCGAAACCTGCTGACAACATTTTTGCAGTGTATAGATCCTCAGAGCTCCGTTTTTTTTTAATTTTTTAAATCCATTTTATTGTCCTTTGGGGTCGTAGACCCTATGTCGGACATAGCCCTTTGCGCGGGGGGCTTACTCCCGCTTATCTATCGTATGTATGTAGTTTGTACTATGTTTGTGTTGAGTGGATATACGCGTACTCCGTCGGCATAGTGTCGGGCAAAGGCCGACGCCGATTTCGTACAAGGGGGAATGATGTAGTAAAATTAGGGTGTTTGGGAGTGTTGGTTTGGCGTTATGCGCGTGTTGATGTTGTCGCGGTTTTGATCCTGGGGTCCATGGCCAATCCGGTTCTCCTTGTGCCTCTTTTCTTCTACATTGACTATGCGTCTGGCGCTAATCTTTCCCTCTGGTCTCGGAGTGTTAATTCACATTTGATCGTTTATGTTCTGTTTATGATGTGCGTGCTTAAGTCATGTACATTTTACGAGTCCAAAATCTCACCGAATGTTGTTTTTAGTTTTCCTGTGCTATTCTATTGATGAATCACATCAACGGACTAGTAGCTTCTTCTGATGTTAGCAGATATGTGAGGGAGTTTGCTTTGCGGCGTAGGGTGTTGGTGAGTACATGGCGCTCTCTTGCATATTAATGGCAGTCGAAAAGATAGTGAGGTACCGTTTCAATAGTTCCTGGACAGAATGGGCAGTTCGGCGATTCACTCTTTCCTATGCGGTGGAGGTGCTGATTGAGGGGGGAGTGGCGGGTTCGAAGTTGGGTGATGATGCTGGCTTGGTGTCTTGGGAGGTTGGTGATGAGCTTGATGAACTTGTTGGATGGCATGCTGGGGTCAATGGCTGATGCGTGGGCATAGCGTGGTGACTTCTTCCATTTCTCTTTCCATCTTTCGTTCAGGTCTGATTGGTGCCACTGTTTCAGGGCTGAGATGCTGTCTGGTAACTTGTCGATTCATAGGAATGAGGGTAGGTGGCCTCTTGGACTTGAGTTCCTTTCTCCTTCCGCTGCCTTCTTCGCTGCTTCGTCGGCTATCTCGTTTCCCTCAACTCCCTTGTGTCCTGGGATCCATCTTATCGTGAGGTCAAAGCTAAGTCCGTTGTCGTCTCTTTGCTTGGCTAGCTGCGCTGTAAGGTCACGGAAATGTTCTACTAAGTAACCACCCGGTTTTGTGTTCTGACTCTCACCGGATTGTATAGCAGCCTGATTATCTATGAATATCAATGCTGGATATATCATGTTTCTTTCCGTCGCTATGAGTTTTGCTGCGAGCGCTAATCCTACGACTTCTGCTTTGTATACCGTGTGTTTCCGATTTGGACCTAGATGATATCTTAGTATGCGTGGCATTTGACCATTTCTCATTAGAACTGCTGCTGCTCCTATTGTTCCGTTATGCCCTGATCCGTCTGTGAAGACCTGGATTTTGTCCATCAGTTCTTTCTGTTCCTTGATCGCCTCTTTTTCCTTTCTAGCTATTTGAGTACGATAGACATTTGGCTTTTGCTTGTCTGATCTGCTGATGGTGTCTACCATTTCAATGTCTTTGGATAGGAGTTGGTAAGTGGCTGTTAGGTTGTGGATTGATGATTGATGACAGATAATGTTTTGGTGTTTGGCGATGTGTTGCAAGTGCGGATATAACGGGTGTCGCTGCGGTAGGGTGGTGAGGTGGAGGGCAGCCCAGTGACAGATTTTCTGGAGGAGTAGGGGGACTGGTAGGAGGTTGGCGTGGTTATATAGGAGGTCTGTAGCCGTTGTTCTCATAGCTCCAGTAATGCTCAGCACAGCTATTCTCTGGACTGTAGCTAAGCGCTTAGCTATTCCTAGTGAGCCTCGTTGTTCCTTCATTGAGTTATTGCGGTAGATGGGTCTGAACCAAAGATTAGCTCCATAGGTGAATTTTGGTATGGCCACGGTAAGATACAGTTGTCACATGAATTTTGCTGAGATGCCATTGGCTGGTCTTGAAAGTCTTCGCAGCTGGAGTACGTATTCTGTTCCTTTAGCTGTAGCATATCCTGTGTGATGTTTCCAAGTCAGTTCTTGATCTACTAGTAAGCCGAGAAAATGATGGTGCTCAGTTGGGTGTATGGTGGTGTTTGAATGACGAGGGGAGGTTGGGTGCGTGTTCTGCTGTGAGTGAAATCGATTAGTGCAAATTTTTTTACTTCAAACCTTGAGTTATGGTCTTGTGACCATTGGAGTTCTCCGTCTTGCCTTACCATCATATCTTTCAGCGTGTTGTGAGTATCTTCAAAGGATGGTCCTACTGCTATGTACACTGTGTCATCTACAAATGCCAGTGCTGTCTCCTTGTTGTGGGGGGTTAGCTATATCAATAAGGTCAGCGTTGTATATCAGATAAGCGATCATAGATAATGGGTCTCCCTGTCCTATTCCATTGCGAACGTGTATCCAATCCAAGGTTGAGTTGTTGAATTTCAGTTGGGTCCTGCGCCCTGAGAGCATTCGCACGGTGAAGTCGACTATTTCTGGAGGTAGCCGACGTTTCTTCATGTTGTGTGCCAGTCTGTCTGTGACTGCGTTGGGAAACGCTCCTTCGATATCTAGGAATAGTACCGAGGCTACTTTCCCACTTCACCAAGTGTTCTTGATTGTTAGCTCTAACAGATGTAGCGAGTCTGTTGTTGTGCGGCCAGGGCGACTTCCGAAGTGGGTATTGGGGAGGAGGTTGTGGCATTCCATTAGATCTGAGGTTCGGTCCGCTATAATTGCTGTTAGTAACTTACACATGGTATTGATAAGGGCTATAAATCGATAGGCTTTCGGGGTGGTGTAATCGGCCTTTCCTGGTTTCTTGAGAACTACTGTGGTGAATTTGCGCCAAGGGTCAAAGTAGGTGTTGAGATCGAATACGGCATTGAATAGGTGGCTGAGGTACGGGGTTAGTATTTCTGAGGCTTGTTTGAAGACTACGTTGCAGATTCCATCTGGTCCTGGCGCTTTGTAGGAGCTGGTGTTAGTTATCGCTCTGGCTACTTGTTCGTCAGTGATCTTGATGAATGGAGTGATTGGGTCGGGATATTCGTAGTCAAGTGGAACTGAGCTGTTAACCGGTTGTCATGCATGGTATGTGACTCATACCATGACATATACATAGCAGGAGTAATAAGGGAGGTATAATACACCAGAATGTATCCTATCACCAAGTTACCCCATCATTTTTCCCTTAGTTATTAGCTAGTATTTTCACTTTCAAAACTTCACTTCCATTTCTCCATGTATTTCTATTTTGTTCCATGAGATTCTATCTGTTTCCATTTTTCTAGGCATATTTATCCATCAAACTTCCTCTCCAGCCACAAAGCATGTTTGTAAGCTTGTCATGTGACTGGTTAAGAATCTGATTTGTAAGGATTCAACTTGACTCATCATGTTTTTGTCATGATTCATCATGCTTTGTAAGACTTGCAAGTGTATTTATAAGCTACTTAGTAAGAAGGCTGATTCAGCTCACTCAAAAGATTGGTTTGTAAGCATGTTCTTACCAATTCTTGGGATGACTCATGTTTTTTTATTCATCTTTCTTTGTAATATTACATTGTATTAATAAGCTAGTTAGTAAACAAGCTGACTCAACACACTAAAAGGATTGATTTGTAAGGATGTTCTTACCAATCCATGTGCTGAATCATGCTTAGTAAGATGGCCTCCAAAAGGTATAAAAGGAACCCATTTTGCCACTGTCAATCTAAGCTTCCCACTTTAAACCCTGTTCTCAAATCAAGTGAGATTACCTAAGAAATAAAGTGCAGGCAAAACTAGTGCCTTGAAGTAAGACTGAGAAACATCTATCTGAGTTATATACTACCTTACAGGGGTTGACTATACAACAAACTAACCCACTAAACTTAAACTAAACTTCACACATACAAATAACCTCTCTCTTTCATAGGAAGGGAGAATCAAACTAAGAGAACTACTTCACATTGAGGCAAACTTTCATAGGGTGAAATAAACCTATTTAATTGACAAAAGACCTCAAAGCAAACCTACAGAGAGAAAGCAAGAAGGGGACGTTTTTAAGTAAACCCTCCCAAGAACTCACACATTATCTACCACGAAAACTAGAAAAGTCGTAGACCGTGTACTTAAGGACTGGCAAGAAGTCTTATCCTATATAGTTGTGCTGTCACTATATACGTGTTGTATATAAGACCCTTAAGTAAGAGGACACCGGGGGCGGGGGGAAGAAGGCATCGGTGAGTGCTTTGCTTTTCTCCTTGTTAGTGATGGCTTCGACCATGTTACCTTCCTCATTCTTGGTCTTGAGGACTGGTACGCTGGTCCTTCCTCCGTCGCTGTGTAGGGAGTGGTTATATAGTGGTTTGCTGTGTATACTGATTGTTGGTCCAGTTCCTCTAGGAAGGCTATCCAATGTTCGTCTTTGGTCTTACGGATTGCCTTGGTTACTTGGTTGTGATAACGATGGTGTTCCTCGTGAATGGGGTGCTCGGTCAGTCCTCTTGACTTGTACGATTGATCACTTAGCTTATTTTTCTGTTTCATCATCTTGGTGAGCTCCTTTGTCCACCATCACTTCACGTGTGGACTTGCTTCGTTCTTGGGACTTTTTGCTCGATCGTTCGACGTATTGCGGTGCTGAGGTTGGTGGCGGCTGTTTGAAATTGCTCTTCTGAGGTGATGTTTGCTGGGCCTGGGAAATCGGTGAGGTTCCTGTTGAGGGCGCCTCGGAATTTGTCCCAGTTGACATCCCGGTAATTGAATGTGGACATTGTTGAGGCGCATGGAATGGGGAGATCTAATGTGCTATAAATAGGTACATGGTCAGTACAAGGAGGGCGGCGTCTAGGCGCCGTGTCACAGAGCGTAAATGAGTCTAGCGTGTGTGATGTACAGAATACATTGTCCGGTCTTGTCCAGTTTCCACTGCTTGTTGATTGTAGGGTCGGTTTATCTCTTGGGAGGGCCATTTGGAGATCATAGTCAGCCATCAGCTCGATTAATTGTTGTTGCCGTTTCCTGGGCCTCCGGAGGGGTACACAGGTGAGCATTCCTGGTTTCTTCCCAAAGGGGGTGGTGCGCGTTGAAGTCACCTAATAGGACTAAGTGGTCTGCTGGTGAGGGTCGGATGGTGCGGCTCTCCTTTTCTAGGTATGTAGTTAGCCCAGGGATGGTCTCCCATTTCTTACCATTGTCGTAGATGTTGAATATGGTGAGTTTTCCGAATGTACCTTGCAGCTGGATAATGACCACGTCTGATGACGGATATGGAATCTGTCGCCAGTTGTTGGTATTGAGTCGTTTGTTGATTAGTGTGATCGTGTGTGAATGGTTTCCATGTGTGAATCTGTGCATCGGGTAGATGACGTTCCAATCTGGGGTGGCTTTCGTGTTTCCCAGTGTGTCGATGCACAGTTCCTGTAGAGTGACGATGTCGAAAGCCTTTGCTGTGAAGGGACCGCTTAGTATACAATGTTGAGCTGTGTCTGATTTGTTTAAGTTTTCTTGCCATATACGTATTCTTACAGCTTGTTCATCGGGTGTGTTAGACATTAAGAGATGATGTTGAGAAGGCGCCTGGCGAGGGTGATCAGGTGATTTGGGGGATTGGTGATCATCTTGAGGTGAATCTTGCGTTGCGGGGTAGGTGAGATGTGCCTCGTGCTGGTCTTGTTCCTCTTGGGTTCAAGTGTCTATCCAGGGTGCCTTGCGTGCTGGATTGGCCGTGGGGATGAGTTCGAGGTTGAGGTTGCGTTGATCTCTGTTGGGTGGTAGTGGCGTGGGTGGTTGCCTTGGGTGGGGCCGAGACTTGAGTCCATGGTTCTTCGGTCGGGAAGAATGGCATCGTGTTTTCGGGATACCTTTTGTCTAGATCTTCGCATCTTCTTTTGAAATCTGGGCAACTACGCTCCCAGCTTGCGTGTCCTTCTTCCTTGCAGGCGATACAGCAGCATCTGTTCCTGTTATTACATTCGTTGGTTCTGTGGTTGTCAGCGCAGTTAGCACATGTGTCCTGGTGTGAGATACATTCACGGGTGATGTGGCCATAGTTTTGGCATTTGGCACATTGTATTGGCTCTCTCTTGTTCTTTTTAACCTGTAGACGTGTCTGGTTCAGTGTGATTCCGTTTCGTATTCCTTCATTTGTGTCCTTCGGGTTCTTGAGTATTGCTAGGAGATGGGCTACCTGTTGGTGGTTAGTGCGTTATTTGGGGGTTTGATCCACCTTGTTGATGTGATTGTTCCTTGTTCCCAGTCGTTTTCCCTTTCGAGATCACAGACCTGGTCTTCACTGTCTGGGTCAAAGGTTTAGGGGACAAATTGGATAACTACCGGGTACCCTCTATCCTTGAAGATAGCCTTTGGGTCGAGTGTTTTGATGAAGTTTTCTTTGATGTTGGCCTTTTTGAGGTGAGCCGCAGCTTCTGCAGTCATCATCTCCAGAATCATTCCGCCATTGCAGTATTGCATGACTGATCGTATATTTAACTCTGGTGTGTTGTCGTCAGTTAGGGTAGCAAGCGCTGTCTTGATTTTTTCAACTAGCTGAGCATGTGAGACTTTGCTTGGAGCTACTGGGCCGTCGAGTGCGACATTGATGAGGATTTGGCAGGCCTTTATAGCGTCTCTCACAGCTAACTGGACGGTCTGGTTGTTGGCGTCAGTGTCTAGTCCTGTAAGTAGTGCTGCTTTGTATCCGCCCATCTGTGTTGCTTCCTTAACCAGTGTTGTCATCTCTTGTTGTAGCTTGTTGAGCCAAGTGTTGATATTGGTATTGGTGGAGTTGGTGAGGCTGTCTTGAAGCGATTTGATTGTTGGAGCTAGTCGATCAACCAAGTCTTTGATTGTCTTCATGTTGTTGGTCATTTCTTCTATCGTGGATTCTGCTTTCTTGATTGCTTGATTTAGTGCCTGTGAGTTGTTTTCTTCATTAGTATTCATATCTCCGAGTTTACTTAACTGTGTGATGGGTTCTTCTAGTTGAGAACATACTGCTTCAGAGATGGTGCGTGCTTTTCGTTCGTGGTCAGTTTTGAAGAGCAGGATAGCTATGGCTCTGATCACGTCGATGTGCATTGGCATGAGCGAGGGGAAATTGAACCGAAAAATCTAAAACGGCTGTGGTTAGTGTATCTATGGTCAATTCTGCTGCCGGAGTGATAAACAATCTTGTTTCCAGTTCAACTCTTGCTGTTTGCTTGTCTATCACTGAGGATTGATTGGCCAGATCATTAATTAAGTCCGGGATCGACCTCTTAGAAGATCTGAATGTGACAGCATGGCGTTTGGGCCTTGTCGGTCTGGTACTTTGAGAGTTCTCTGGCGGGTGAAGGATCTTCAACTCAGCTGAGGGTGCAGCTGATATAATTGTTGAAGGGAGGAAAATATGAGTGCGATATGTTCATCCCTTAGGGGAAGCGGAGGAAAAGCAAATATCCACTGGTCAACTCTAGGGGGAATGCGCAAGCGCGTGATAAGGCGAAAGCGCGGGAAAGTCGCGCGTCGAAAAGCGGAACTGGGTGAAAGCGGTATGCGAGCGATAGTGAGATGTTAAGACGTGTACTGAGATGCTGATAAGACAACTGATGCGGATATGGCCACTAGAGCTAACTGCTACTAGGGCTTGCGATGATTTATTCAAAACATAATAAAAACTCGGAGATGGTGACTGTCTATGATGATGGTCGTCTGTGGTAATGTGTGTTGTGTTCAGTAAAAAATGTGTCATGAAAAATGTGTACCAAGTGAAAATAAACATGGTACGATGTTGAAATAAATGATAAATGGAGAAATGCATACCTGGGAACTTGGTTGGACATGGGAAAACACAGTGGGAAGTCAGGCGCCCTATAGCGCTTAGGCGCGGGAAAGTTCGCCTAAAGCACGCGCAAGTCGCGGAAGTGTCGCCTATGTCGCGGAAGTGTCGCCTAAGTCGCGCGCGTCGCTGCGAACGTCGCGTTTATCGTGCAAGTGTCGCGTTGCATGCATATTACTGTAGACTCGACCTATGTTGCAATATATGCCATTGTGAGGCTACTCAGGATCGAGTCTCTACAGCGGGTCTAGAGACATTATAGCAGGTGCTTTTGGTTTTTAACCATGATTAGAGTTAGCTGCAGATGAGTTGCCCAAGGTGTTTTCCGCCATTGAGCGCTGTCGAGCGTGTTGTTTGAAAGTTTGAGTTTCGGGGTCCTACTTGGGGTGCCACTTGGTAGTGGTCCAAGAAGCGATTAGAGCTCTGTCTTAACTAGGCCCAGTCACTGCGCCGAAACTACCTTTTTATGTGATAGTCTGTCCATGAAATAGAATTCACCTTCACGCCTCGTGCGGATCGTCTCAGAAACATAAGGTATATCCCTGAGATGTGTACATGCCAACCTAGATTCTCGACGGTGTCCTCTTACTTAAGGGTCTTATGTACGCTGCTTATATAGTGACAACACAACTATATAGGATAAGACTTATTGCCAGTCCTTAAGTACATGGTCTACGACTTTTCTAGTTTTCGTGGTAGATAATGTGTGAGTTCTTGGGAGGATTTATTTCAATATACCTTCTTTCCTTGTTCCTTGGTTAGTTTAAAACAATTTGATTCTGTATACTGAGTCTACGGTATGAACTGTGTCTGAGAGTTAGTGTGCTCGTGTATCGTGTAGCGTGAATCGTGTGTAGCGTGAATCGTGTAGCATGAATCATGTCTCCCTTCCTGTAAAAGAGAGAGGAAAATAGTATGGGTTAAACTTAGTAAGATTTAGCTGATAGATTATATAATCAACCCCTGTAAGGTAGTATATAATTGAATAAATGTTTCTTAGTCTTACTTTGAGGCTAATGATTTGCCTGTACTTAGGTTCTTACTTAATCTCACACTGTTTGAGATGAATGAAGGGTGGGAAGTGCTCCATTTATTACATGGCAAAATTGGGCTCCTTATATACCTTTTGGAGGCCCCGATTACAAAGCATGAATCATCACATAGATTGGTAAGAATGTGCTTACTAACAATGCCATTTGGTGTGTTGAGTCAGCCTGTTTACTAATTTACATTATAAATACAGTGTAGTTTACAAAGCATGATGAATCATGGCATGAGTCATCACATGGATTGGTAAGGATGTGCTTACTAACAATGCCATTTGGTGTGCTGAATCAGCCTTCTTACTAAGTAGCTTATAAATACAGTTAGAAATCTTACAAAGCATGACAAATCATGATATCTACCAGTCACATGACATGCTTACAAACATGCTTGGTGGCTGAAAAGAAAGTCTGTTGGCTGAATATGCCTGAGGAAAATAGAAAGAGATGGAATGTCATAGAACAAAATAGAAATACATGGAAAAATGGAAGTGAAGTTTGAAAGTGAAAATACTAGCTAATAACTAAGGGGAAAATGATGGGGGTAACTTGGTGATAGGATACAGTAGGGTCTATTATACCTTCCTTATCACACCTCTTGTGTATCTATCATGGTATGAGTGCATACCATGCATGACAATGGACTAACTAATACCACTCTGCAGGGAACACCATACTGTAAGTACTCTGCATCTAGTGGAAAGATGCCGTTTTTGTGACAGTGGTGGACCATAGGTACAGTCCAAGTGGAACAATGTCTTGTCACGTCTCATAGGCCACTGTCCACAAGGGGGCAGGCGATGGAGCCCACAATGTCATGACCTCCAAAAGTGGTCACACCCAGGCAAACAAATTACAAGACCTGTGGGTATGTGGATCATTGTCAGATTGGTTATATAAGACCCGGTGTTGTGCAAATGCTTGAACACCAACAACAACTTTTAATCATGCATCGTGATCTTGAATCTGAAGATATCATCTATGCCGTGTTAGAACACGTCAAGTCATCTGTGAAGGACTTGGTGAACATGGCGATGACCTGCTCCACACTGGCAGGTCCCACCCTCGATATCCTCTGGTCCGAACAGTCAAGTTTGGCACCCCTCATTATGTGTCTGCCACAAGACACCTGGAAGGTCGCAAAGGACCAAACTATTGTGAGTGAAGTATACCATTTGAATCTTGACAGGACAATGCTCACCGTACTCCAATTTGCAGGATCTTTACAGAGAGCTAGCTCCTACCGAGTGGGAGCACCTCAGAATGAATGCATCAAGAGTACGCTGGCTTCATAACAATAACTTCCTTAGGGCACTTCCCTGAAGCCACATCTCATCCTGAGTTGTCGTGTCCTACAGAGGATTTTCAAGCAGTTCCCTCCCGCCACACACTTCCCAAACCTTTGCGCATTGGATTTCGAGGCCATATTTGGTCGGTCAAAGTGTAGTTCAAGATTCTTGCTACTTCGGCAGTTCATGTTGCCTGGATTGGAAGTGCTAAGATTTGATATACCTGGAGGCGTCCCAACATATGAAGTAGAGCAATTGCTTGATTGCTCTTCCCGCAGAAGCGTACGGCCTGCGTCAACTGTCGATATCGGCGGGCCATGGTACCACGACTTTTACAGTTCCCCCGAGTTTCAGAAAGCTGTCCAAGTTAATTAAACTGGGGCCTTCACGGAATTGATGCATGCCTGATGAGGCAGACGATCATTAATATCCAGCAAGCTCGGTGTCTTCAAACCCTCATGCTTACTTTGTGTGGGACCTCCAATGATGCAGGTGGTATGCCCCTTGAATTGCATAGTCTCAAACACCTCTGTCTCTTTGGCAGTTCCTTACCACAGTGCACACACTTCATTCGTCAAGTCGCCACCCGACAGCTATCATATATCAGTATCAAGTACTCCAAACCTGCTTCCCCAACCGAAATTACTGCGTTTGTGGAATCATTGTCCACCTCGTGCCAGATTGGGTCCTTGGAACAGATATATGTGATGGACACATCAGATGACCGTGACCCTAAGCACGCCATCCCACTCCCCTCCGAAATCTTCCGGCCCTTGCTCAAGTTCAGCAGGCTGTCGTCTGTGAAATTCATCGGCATTGGAAATTACAATCTTGACGATAGGTTCATCAATGATATTGCAGTTGCCTGGCCGGAAATTTGGGAATTGAAGTTCGCTGCAATGAGATGTGCCAGTTATACCGTCACCTTCACTGCCATGATATCACTGGCGTCAAGGTGCAGATCGTTGCATACCTTACATCTGATGGTCGATGCTACACAATCGACGACAATTCCCCGAGCACCGGACGGGACGGAAGAGCTTTGGCCCATGCAAACAGCCCTTCAAAAGCTGCATCTTGGATACTCCGAGGTGTCAGAAGTTGCGCGCTGTCCTGCATGATTTGGGAATCATGCATGGACATGACTACTAGGTATCCCCCTAAAAGACAAAGTCTGTTAGCTTAGTCCTCAGACTAGTCAACCCATACCTTGGTATCAAACCTTGGTCCAATAGTTTCAGTTTTCCCTCAGTGATTCATGAACCCACCATGTTTTGAAGAAAGGTCATATGTGAGATGGGAATCACATAATGACCTAGTTGATATGAGAAGAAAAATGAAGGTTAAGGTATTGCCTTTCCTTTGGCTTATTCACTTTGGCTAGAGAAACCCATAGAGAAAAGTTCAAAGCCTAACAAAAACCTATCTAAAAAGCCCGCGTATTGTGTACTATTATTTGTTCCATTATTTCTGAGTTGTTTTCTCTAGTGTTTCTTTACTTTACTTTTCTATTAGGATGCTCTGACTAATCAGATGCTTCATAAAATTCTACCTACAGGATATGATGTCATAATGATGTCATGTTCCATGGAATTTGCTAGAACATTCCAATGACTCATGATGACTCATAGTGACTCATAGTGACTCAGAATGATGTCATTATCCCACCATGAATATTCTGGAATGTTCTTTTGCACCTGCTAGAACATTCTGCTCCAGTTTTTGGAATATTCTTCTCACATTCTGAAGTCATTACATCACCTTTTTACTTACATAATATTCCCACACAAAATGTATATAAGGAGAGCCCATTCTCCCCCAAAAAAATAGATCTCCCACTTGTTGCATTCAAGAATCTCCCTCTTGAGCAAATTGAACTCTCACCTAAGAAGCTTCAGTCTGAACAAATTGCTGCTTACAAAGCCCATTTCCTTTGTAAGAACTGTCCAGACAAGTGCAGGGAAAGTGTTTCCCTTGAGATTACGTAAGTTTCTCGCGATAGAAAACCCAGTTTTGTGAGACCAGTGTTCTCACCACGTAGTGTTTACTGACCAACACGAGCTTTGGTCACCGTTGTTATTTGTGAGACCAGCGTTCTCACCAGGTATTTGTATACTGACCAACACGAGCTTTGGTCATTGTTGTTATTTGTGAGACCAGCGTTCTCATCAGGTATTTGTATATTGACCAACACGAGCTTTGGTCAACGTAGTCACATTTGAGACCAGCTTCTCAACAGTTAACCGTATATTCAGGAAAACCAGTTCAAGTGTCTAGACGGTATATCCTAGACAATACCATAGTTTTCAATCAGAGATAATAAAGCTCCGGCTAAGTTAATCTGACTGATTGGTTTAGCGAGCCTCCCAAGAACTCACACGTTATCTACCACGAAAGAAGAAAAGTCATAGACCGTGTTAATCGAGGACTGGCAAGAAGTCTTATCCAGTGTAATTGTGGTGTCATTACATTCTTACACGTATTTATATAAGACCCTCGGTTATTAAGACACCGCGCCCCCATTCTCTACCAATATGGCCACAGTCTCAAATGATCCCATTTGGTGGCCGGTTCATCAATTCATACCGTGTTTCCAGTTATTTTGTAGGTTCATGGAGAGCAGTCAGATGTTGAAGCAACCCAATCTAACCTTGACTGCGGTTCCCAGTTGCCGCCTTTGTTGGAATAATGTATCATTGGGGTGAGGCATGATAATATTGAAAGGATTGCTGATATCTTACAAGTATTTTCAGCACTTACATTCGGACAAGAGGTATGTTGACGCTGTAACCAGAGCAGTCATCTCGCTAAGAATAGTTTTATAGGTCTAACTGATCTGGGTGAGTAGAGTCTCATGTCAGAGGAACGCATGAAAATACATTTAATTCCAGAGACAATGCTGGTCTCTAATGACAGTACTGTATCTCAGTGTATGTAGCTCGTTTGTTGTAGTTGTCATATTGTGCTAACTTGAAAGTATTCTAGGTGCACTATCTTGGAATAATATATGCTGTGTATGTTTGGAAGGCTCATCACCAACTGTCCGTCTACTAATGGATTATGTCTTTAATCAGATTGAACGTAGTCCGTATGTCCTTCTCACATTTGATGTCTTTGTTTCTTCTGGACCGGCAGCATACAGTCAGTCTTCTGCACAAATGCCTGCTTCCCTCCAACTAACCGTGGTGCTCTGTAGGAGTGGGTGTGGTTCTTTACTGACTTCTTGATTCACTGATGACTGCCACATTATACTGCCACAGATGTGAGTCTGTTTGAAGTGTGTGCTACTCGAGGTTGGTCACTGACTGGATTCGTCAGGCTGGATTATATACACCATATGTAATTGGACAGGTGTTTTGGTATCTGCAATGCTGTTGGGTGAGCTGGGCACTTGCAAGAAACTCAATGGTATTGAATTGACTGAAACATGCTGCAAGTCAGCATCATTATCACTTGGTTGTATGTCATGTATCAACGATCTAGAAAGATCCTGGTATTTCTCCTTGTTGCCTTCCTGGCTTATGACATTTTTTGCAGAGTGGCCACCATAATGACAATGATGCATTCTTCAGGGGGTACACTTAATTATGGATGACAAAAAATGTATATGGGGTTCATTGATGAATACCAGAGGAACTCATTCTCTCCGGCACCTATCAGTGCTTGATGGCTATGTGGAATATGCAGTACTTCTGGGTTCCATTATTTGGATACTCAGCACTGCGTGGCAGGTCCTCACATATGTCTCGCAATCTGGATTGCTGTCAAACACTTCCATGAATTGCGACAACATCCGGCAGGAGGGATTATCGAGGACTGCTTCACGTGTTGATAAGAACCCATGTGCTTACTTTGCGAGGTGAGCTCACACTACAAACATGGTTCCCATTTCCGCTAAAGGGTCAAACATGCCAGCTTTGTTGCTGTTTCTTGCTTGCGCCTTATTCTTAGTTTGTCTCCAACGGTCTCAATGGTATGTCAATCACTGACCTCTCCATGCGACCATGGTTCATCATTTCTATAGGACCAACATTCCTGGTAAACCAGATTTGTTCTGGAATTCTTCAAATTTTGACAATTGTGCAGTTGTTTGTGCTAGGACCCCGCCTGATCCTTGGAATTCGAGAATATCACGCCAAACTTGTGACAGATTCCAACGCAGCAACCGGCATGACCTCAATCGCGTTTCAGGAGCATGTGCATATATGACTGGCAATGGTGTATAGCACAGGAGATGCTCAGTGGAGGTTGTCTAGTGCTCTGCAGCAGAGCGGCAGGAGAATTCATTTTTATTTATTCCCACTTCCATTGGTATTGATTTAAGTGATGTGGTTTTGCGAAGTGCATCCTTGTAAAGGAGATATAGGTCAATATTTTTCGTCGTAGTGTCTATCTAAGTGACTAGCTATAGGTCCTGGCAGTGTTTAAATCAATGTGAACTAGATCCCTCCTGCACCTACACTTGTACCAACCAATGATCCTTCTTTCTCTGTGTGATAACAATCATCTCCATGATTAGTGATGTGCACAGCCTGGCTTCAAGCCCTGGGCCGGCCCAAGCTGGGCCCAAATAGGCCGGGCCCAGCCCAGGCCTAAGTCACGGCCTGAGGACAGCTTGGGCCTTTCCCGACTCTATTTTTCTGCTTCTGACTTGCATCTATTATCAGTTTCGATGATCCATATGTCGCAGTGAGTCGCCATGTCTTGTGCTTCGGTTGGTCGACATTACTCACATCGCAGTCAAAAAGCCCGCATTGTCCAACATATCCAGCAATTTCCTCTTATCTCTTGTGTGTTGCTATGAAACAGCCGCGTGAGCTATCAGTGCTATGTCCAGTGCTTTGCAAGCTCAATATAACTCACCCCGCTGTCGGAAAACCAGATCTCAGTTGCACAAACCAAGATTTTTGGTAAATTTGAAGCCTTATGTGCTTTACCTTCGCAAGTGTGATGCACCCAATATCTTTCAATTGATTTATGTTGGTATGTGTCCCTCTAACATCCCTCCCTGCTACCCACCCATGACAAGCACAGACGCCTGAGCACCTGTGTTTGGACGTCCTGTACGCAGAACAAAACCACAGCCGCCCTTCTTCAGCATGCCGAGAAGGGGCACTGCCATCCCAAACCAAGGCGATTAATGCAATTCCATGCCACAGAGGCTGCCAAGCGTGCCATTGAACTATCTCCACTTCATCCCCCACTGAAACTGCAAAATCAACCATCTACTGTCAACACCTGCAAAAGGGGTGCACCCTGAAGACTCCTCTGATGGAGAATCTGCTGATGATAGAGCATGAAACTGCACGTACTAATCCCAAGCCTCGAAAGCAGCGCAAATTGGCTGTTGTCCCAACCAAACCAGAATCAGTTGACGCTGACAGTATTTTAATTGATGTTGACATTCAATCTCTCACAGAACCAGTGTTGACGCGAGAAGCCAAAATGGCCGATATCGACACTTTTTTTGGTGCTACCTTTGACCACACAGGGGCCAATGGGAAGGTGAAAAAGCACAGGAAGTGCAAGATGTGCCTGTAGGTCTGCTCACTTGTAGTCATACTCGCGCTGATGGCATGTTCAATAGGAAAGCATGTATTCTTGTTAATGAAATATCTACCCTCCGTCATCATGCTGAGGCAAAGTTCTCTGGAAAATTATCGGAAATGGGCCAAAGAACATTCCATTCGAGTCAATGCTTCCTGGTGATGTCAAGGCCCGCAAGGACAATGCCGCCGCAGCAGAGCATTAATGCGCATTCTGACTGAGCGGAAACTTGCTGAAAAAGTGGTTTCATATTCAGATAAGTTATTCAAACAGGCCGCAATCGAGTGGCTTGTGGCTACTGACCAGGTACTACATCTCTCTTCCTACAGAATTGAATTAAATGTCTCTTTATCTAGCCAATTCAAGCACTCGAACATCCGAAATTCAAAGAAATGATTGATGTTCGCCACTCAAGCCACCAATGGCGTCAAAATTCCAGGCAGAAAGGCAACTTGTGCAGAATAATGAGAACGTTCAAAACTCATCTTATGGGACTCAGGAACACGCTCAATGTAAGTAATATTTATGATATTGCTCTATCTACTCAACTGATGTGCACCTATGTAGAGCGCCA